TTACTCGTTTTTGACGAGTGAACGACGGTTAGCTTCGAGCGCTGTAAAAGAAGCACCTCTCTTAAGGTATTTTTTCGATAAAACTTGAGGTCTTAGTGAAAGTTAAAAAGCTTAGAATCGGGTGTATCAAATGAACAGTCATAGTCTAGCTGTGTGTAAGTCTACGGTAGCTTAACTTGCTTGCGATAGGTTTTGAGCGTTGCTGAAAGGGACTGGGTCGAGGTTATAAACATATTGGTAGACTCAATGTTAAATGAATATCTTTATTTTATTTGCTTCGTTCACCTTTATTCTTTCTAATTTGATTTGTGTTGTACAAAGTTTGCTAATGTAAATTCATAGGCCCTATGTATATACAATTAAGAAATTGCTCGGACACTAAAGCAGATATCTGCATGTCTTTTCTTAATTGTCCTGCAGTAATCTAAAAACAAACGATCATTCAATAAAGATCGCTGGTTTAGAAGTTTAGTGATCGTGGCATTATTTCATGAATGAGTCGTTGAACGTTTTTATAACATGAACCAGGGCGACACCTTAATTCAAATGAAATCTGTTGTGAAACATCAAATCCTTTATACGATAGTAATTTTCCCCTACATTATTTTTATGGACCGGTATCTCCTCAGCATCGCGCAAGGGGTTTCTCTTTAATTTCGAGTCAAAAGTCACATCCCTATTACTAGCGTAAGAGCTGTAGTGAGCAAGTTTCTCGGAGCGTGTGCAGTAAAGCTTGTTTGTAAAAAAAAGGAACAAAAAACTGAGAGAGCACAGCTTCGATCATTCCGCTTTTAACAGTAAGACAACCGCCTATATTAAGACATGCACTCCAAATGATAAAGGCTATTAAACCCTCTTGATACATGCATATGGCTACAGTAGATGGATTCGTAGTCATAATGACGGTGACCTTTTTGGGACTCAAGCCGGGATCGGTTGACATGCATATCATGCAGGTATGTGATAAACATAGCACGCTCAACAGCATGCAGCTGATTGTCCAGAATTCCTTGCCAAAGCAGAGGTGTCTTCTATTGAGACCTTGTATTACTGAGTTTAAATAATCAACATGAAGATCTATTGTTGTCATCATTACCCACGATCTTGCCGAGTAGACGTGACGTCAATGGATAACAATATGAAATAGGGAAGCGTTTGGGGCCGACTAAACTTTTTTGTGTGACGATTTGAGACAACTTCTTCCGTTATCATAAAATTAGTCCAAAACGCAAGTGAAGAACAACATTACGGCCTTAGAATTTGAAGTCGACTACATCGTTATTTCTCACGTAGCATAGAAGAGTCTGCTCTTTGAGATA